GCTCCACATTGACCTCCAGCAGCGCTGGTCTGGGTTGCCTTGAGTATCTTGGAATGGAAGCACCGCTCCCAGAGACTGACTGCCTCCTTTAAGCAGGCACTGAAACAACTGAGCTAATGGGTGGGCCCCCGATATTGGCTATTTTTGCTCTTCTTTTTTTATTTTTTAATGTATTTGGTACAGGGTCTCACTTCGCAGCTCAGACTCATAGTGATCCTCCTGTTTTTAGCCTCCCCAGCATGGGTTACAGGCGTGCGCCACCACGCCTGGACTCCTTGGCCGGCTCAGCGCACCCAGAGGCAAGGCCAGCACAACATATGGTGCCAGGGATCGCACCCTGGTCCCTGTGCTTGCCTAAGCAGGTACTTAGTCTGCTGAGCTAGCTTACCAGCCCTCTTACTCTTAATGTTAAGAGGAAAACAAAAGCTCCTGTTTACTGAAACTGTTAGATTATTCAAAATGCAAATTAAGAAATACGCACATAAGAATGAAGAAAATGCTATTTAAGTGAATTTTTGGAGTAGTCATAAGGATATTCTATACAGCTTCACATGTAATTTATGTTTTGTTTACTGTTCAGTTTTTACAACCTGGAGCAGTTAGCCTTCACCTCAGTGTAGTAGGGTCTTCCTTGAGTTCTCTGTAGAGCTCTGCGGGTTGATCCTTATCTGTGGGTTTTGGTCTTCTACGGAAGTTGTGATTACACAGCTAAAGATAGCACTCTTCATAGAGGACTTAGGCCCTAGTGTGTGTGTGTTCATGGGCAGTTAGAGGGGGCGGCTAGTAATCTGAATACTTGTAATGGTAGCATTTACACGATTGTAGGAGACTTTAGGGGACGGGTACCTTACGTAGATTAAACTGGGCGAACGTGACACTCCTGATAAGTAAGCCAGATGAGAAATAAGCACTTGAAAGTGATGGCATCATTACTAAAATATATTAGTTGAAACACATTGTTTGAAAAAAATGTATGTTGCATTAAAAATGGAGTATTTGATCTGTGATAAAATAGTTTTTAAATGAGCCAAAATTAGTTCGAGTTTTCAAAGTTCAGTATTTGTATTTGATAAACCACCTACTTAAATCTATAATTATAGTAAGTAAATTCAGATAGTAATATTAGATCATCTCTAGCTCCTAAATAATTGCTTGTGTCTTCAATACCAAAGGCAATTATTGAGTGTATTCATTTTAGTGAAAAGTATATAGAGAGTAGAAGGATGTCTTCTAACCATGTAGAAGTTACCAATATTAGTTTACTTATTTAGTTTCCTAAGATTAAACTGTTAATGTAGATTAAACTGTACATGGTAGTCATTTCTAATTAACTTTGAAATTTCCTCTCTGTAGGAAGAAAACAATCTATAATGAATTACTATAAACTACTTACTTTTAATGAAATATAATAGGTTGGAAGCTAGCCCAATATTCCGTAGGTCATTAAGAAAATGAAAGCCAAAAATACACTTTTTTGGCTAGGTGTGATAATGCATGCCTGTCGTCTCAGCAGTAGTTCAAGGCCAGCCTGGGCTACATAGTTTAGAGCCATCCTAACTACATAGTGAGACCCTGTCTCCAAAAAAATTGGGTTTTTTTTTTTTTTTTGTTTTTTGTAAGGACTAAGTAAAAACTTGAATTACTTTTGAATATTGGAATTTCCTTTAATAATTATAACTATACTTTTTACTTTTGATACTGCTAGGCAACTTTAGCAAGTATAGATGCTGAGCTTCAGAAACTGAAGGAAATGACCAACCACCAGAAAAAAAGAGCAGCTGAGATGATGGCATCTCTGCTGAAAGACCTTGCAGAAATAGGAATTGCTGTGGGAAACAATGATGTAAAGGTAAGTATAATAACTTCTTATGTAAGATGATTTGTATATACCTTGTACTTGTTCTTTCTAGATCCTTGTCCTCACAAGAGACGTGTGTTATGTGGTATTAACTCCATTTTACATAGGTGAAGAAGGAAGGAGTGAAGAAGGGGGACCTGAACAGGATGTTCAGTGAGTAGCACTTACTGGACTTCATGTTTGGTTCTTTTCTTCAACTGTGTAAAGATTTCACACTTTGAAGTTATCATAATAAATTGCCATATATGAAAGTACCTGCTTGTAGCAACAGTGAAGATTAGCTTAGGGAAGAAACTCTTTTCATTAGCTTCTTGTTTTAAGTTTTTTAATGTAAAAGATGATGCCAGGTGTAGTGATACACATGTCTATAATTCCAGCACTATAGGGGCTGGGACAGCAGGATTGCCACAGTACAGAGCCATCTGAACTACACAGTAGGATCCTATCTAAAAATTGAGTTGCAAATCCAGGGTCAGCCTCAACTACATAGAAAGATACTGTCTTTAAAAAAAAAAAAAGATGAGTGGTATTTAAAATCTTTAAAAACATTTTAGTGTGAACCATTTTAAACATAGAGAATATACTGATCTCTATTGAGATATCAGTTACTACAATTTTATCATTCTTTCATTTGTACCTTTTTCGCCCTAAAATCTTTTGAAGAATGCCAATATTGGTTTTGTTTGTTGTATTACTAGTGTTTGAATCCAGGTCTTTTGCACTGAGGTGTATATTTCCCAGTCCCTTTTTAGTTTGGGACAGGGTGTTGTTATATTGCCCAGGCTGGACGAACTTGCCATCTTCTAGCCTCAGCTTCCCAGAGTGCTAGGATTTTAGGTACCCACCACCATGCCTGGCTGAGTTACTGTTTCTTTCTTGTTGGTTTTTTACATTATAGTTGTTTTACAGTAGTATGGCATTTGAAGTATACAGTAATACAGTGCTACCATTATAGTATTGTATAGAATAATATCACCACCCTGACAAACCTGCTGTGTAGTAGCTATTCATTGTTACCCTCTGTACTCCTGGCAACCACAGTTTTTACCATCTCTGCAGTTTTGCAGTTTCTAAAGTGATACACAGTTGGACTTACATAGTATGTAACCTTCCATACTGGTTTTCCTTTCCATACTTTTGTGACTCTTCTGTATCTTTTTGTAGCTTGATGGGGTATTTGTTTTATACTCCATTGCATGACTGTGCTGTAGTTTGCTTATTTCTTCACCTGCAAAGGAACCAGAAACACCTAAAGGACACCCAGGATTTTGAGGCAGATTTATTTTACATTGACGGGCACTGATTAGAATCATTGTCAAAATATCAGGGCCCAGAGTCTCAAGGAGATTTTTATGGAGTTACAAAGGGGAAGTACAGAAGCAAAGTACTTAGCTGTCTTTGATTAGTTCTTACAATATGCATCACAGTGACCAGCCATTTCTAGGAGACAGAAGCAGCCACAACTGCAACAGAAACTATTACCTGGGCAGTTAAGGAATTGAAGTATATGAGCTGGAGGGCACATTTTTCTGTTACATACTTAGTTACTCAGTTACTTCTAATTTATGGCAGTTCTAAACATTCATGTGCAGGTTTTTCTGTGCTATAAGGTTTCTGTCCAGTTGGGTATAAATAAGAAAGAGGATGTATTAGATTGTATATTGAGACTGCTTGTTCATTAGCCTTGTAAGAAACTCCTAAACATGTTTGAGAGTGGTAGTAGTGTTTTATATCCTGCCAATAATGGATGGAGACATTTTGTTGCTTCACATCTTTACTGACTTTTGATGTCAGATTTCCAAATTCTAGCTGTTATTCCAATGTTTAGTGTTATTTAATTTGCAGAATACTTTAATTTGAAGTTGAGTTGGTTCTTATTATGGAGGTTTAAAAGTTCTTTGTGTAGTTTGGATATAAGTCCTTTCTTTATCAAATAGTATTTTGCAGTATTTCTCCATTCTGTGTCTTGTCTTTTTTACTTCCTTAAGATCATCAAGATTTTCATGTGTTACCTTCCAAAATTGATTTAGTTTTACATTTACATTTAGGTCTGCAGTCCAGTTGGAGTTAACTTTTCTGAAAGCTGTGAGTCTGCTTCAGGATTAATTCTGTCTGAGGATGTATTACCTCTGGCACCATTTGTTAACGACTATTCTTTATCCGTTGATTTGCCATTGCCCTTTTATCAGAGATCAGTTGATTACATATAAACGTCTCTTCTCAAGTGCTCTATTCTGTTCCATTGACCTGCTTGTCTTTTCTTTGTCAGTCCTGTACAGTAGCACCCTTATCATCCAGTTCTACTCTGTGGTTTCAGTTACTGTACATTACAGTCTGAAAATACTTAATGGAAAATTCTAAAAGTAAATAATTTATAAGTTTACAATGACTTCTTCCATTCTATCCTTAAAATTGTTCTAGTTCATTATTAATTGTTACTCTTACTGTAGCTGTTATAATTAAGCTCTTATCATGTATGATACATATATATATATGTATATATGTTATGTATATGTATATATATCAGGTTCAGTTCTATAGTTGGTTCCAGGCATCAATGGAATGGCTTTGAATGCATCTAAGGAGAAAGGAGACTACCATATTTTCTTGATTTACTATAGCCTTGTAGTTAATCTTTAGTGTGAGTCATTGTTCTTTAGTGTTGTACTGGCTTTTCGTGGACCCTCAACTTTCCATGTAACTTTGGAATCAATTTGTCAGTATATACAAAATAACTGACTGGGATTTTTATTAATTATATTCTTTCAGTGTTGTGGAGTTTACTTTTTTTTTTTTTTTTTTTGGCGGTCTGAAGATGTCTTGAGGCCATTTCTGGTTTCCTGTGAGAAACTGGGTTTGAACCAGAGCATCTTGAGCCTGACTGCTTTGTTTAAGCAGACACTGAAACAGCTGCCCTAGTGGGCAGGCCCCCAAAATAGATTTTCTTTTTTGTTTGTTTGTTTGTTTTTGCAGTACCGGGGATTGAACTCAGGACCCTGTGCTTGTTAGGCAAGCACTTACTCCTCTGAGCTATCTCCCCGGTCTGGAGTTTACTATTATAGATCATGTATTCAGTACAGAGTCTACAGGGTCTCACTACGCAGATCGGACTCATAGTGATCCTCCTGTTTTCAGCCTCCCACACACTGGGATTACAGGCACTGTGCCACCAAAGACAATTTTATTTCTTCTTTCCCAGGCTCCATATTGTGAAATTTTATAATAAAAGTTACAAAACTTAAAAGAATGTGCATTGACCATGGCTCCTCCTTGTTGAGCTTTAAATAAAAGTCATCTTTTCCCTGTCACCTAAGCAGCCTCTTGTTGAGGACAAAGATTTATAAGCTGTGTTTACCCTTTTTAAAGCTTATCCCTTCTTGAAGTCGCAATAAAAGAAAAAAATTAAATTTCCTATTTCCTGTGAATGTTGAATATTTGTCTTAGGATTTTAAAATCTTGAGAAAACACACATTGAACATTTCGGCATGATGTCTTTAATCTCACAGCAGCCTGAGGGCACTGGCATGATAGACGAAGAATTCACTGTTGCAAGGCTGTACATTAGCAAAATGAAGTCAGAAGTCAAAACAATGGTGAAGCGCTGCAAACAGTTAGAAAGCACACAAACTGAGAGCAACAAGAAGATGGAAGAAAATGAGAAGGAGTTAGCAGCATGCCAGCTTCGTATTTCTCAGGTAGGTGTTTAGAACAAACTTGTCCCATTTTTTTTTTTTAAACAGCCACATGAAAATTTAATTCTTTAGAAAAGTTTTCAGGAAAATGAGCTGCTATAGTTTATTTTCAGTAATAAATTTTTTTAAAAATTAGTCAAATTTTCCTAATCTCCCTGCATTATAACTTGCATCATTTAACTGGGCTTTATTTGCCAACATATAGACGTTGACTAGAATAATGTGACTGTTGAAGATTTTAGAATTACTCTAGTGTAGGCCAAACTACAGGGGACCAGTTCTCACATTACGTTAGGGATAGGGTCATTCACCAAGACAGGAAATTTTCACTGGAGTTAGTAGGTAATATTAGATGGAAGTAACTGTAAGAGTATTACGAAATATGTCAGCCTTCAGTGTCTTAATTTGCAGGTGGCATCAGCTGTGCAGATGACATTTAATTCTTCAACATTCTAAATCCGATCCCTGAACACTAGGATGAAATACCTTTCAATTTTTACATGTATTTAGATGTATCAGTAAAACATGCTTCCTTTTAGATATTCTTAAGAACAAAGTATGTGTATGAGATTTTTTTTCACTTCATATCAGTATATTTTTTCCAAAAGCATGAAGCCAAAATCAAGTCATTAACTGAGTATCTTCAAAATGTGGAGCAAAAGAAAAGACAGCTAGAGGAATCTGTTGATTCACTCAGTGAAGAACTGGTCCAGCTTCGAGCACAAGGTATTAACTGATAAGTTAAGGCCCTATTATGAATTGCTGAATAATTATGGTTGTCATCTAATATGGCCGAAGCCCTTAAAACAACAGTTATCTTCCCAGAGACCACCTCCCCCTTCTCCCACTCAGCCCAGGGTGCAATTTCCTGTCACCTTTCCTGCCACCTCAAGGAAGGCCCCAGTCAGCTCCTCAGGTATATGCAAACATCCCCCTCAAACCTCACCCCTGTTATCAGGCCATAAAAACCTCAGCCTCCCTTTCTTCCACTACAGAGAATTTGTTATATTCCCAGATTCTCTCCATGCCCTTCAAGATGATGAAGCCCCTTTCCCTTTATAATAAAGCCCCTTTCCCTTTATAATAAAGCCCCTTTCCCTTTTTTCTTCTGCCTGTTTCTTGCTACAACACCATGGGAA